TTGAATGTGTGGGGAAGAAGTCAAATCTCTATTTGCAGATGATACAATCTCATACTTAAAAGATCCTAAATTCCACCAAAAAACACTTAAGACATCGAAAACACTTTTAGCAAAGTAGCAAGATGCAAAATCAGTATACGAAAGCAGTAGCTTTTCTATATACCAATACCAATAATGAGCAGACTGAGAAAGAAATCAGAAAAACATTCCATTCACAACAGCCTCAAAAAAATGCCTAGCAATAAATTTAACATAGGAAGTGAAAGACCACTACAAAGAGACTATAAACCACTGAAAAAAGAAATTGAAAAGACACCAGAAGATAGAAAGTTCTCCCATGCCCTTGGATCACTAGAGTCAATATTGTGAACATAGCTGCACTATCAAAAGAAACCTAAATGTTCAACACAAGCCATATGAAAATTCCAATAGCATTCTTCACAGAGATAGAAAAATAAATCCTAATGTAAACACAACAGGTCTTAAATAGCCAAAGCAACCCTAAACAAAAAGAGCAATGCCAGAAGTATCATTATACCTGATTTCAAATTACACCAAAGAGCCATAGTAATAAAAACACCATGGTACTGGAACAAAAAATAGACATGAAGACCAATGGAACAGAAAACTCAGACATAAACCCACCCAACTAGAGCTATTTGATTTTTGACATAGGATCCCAAATATCCATTAGAGAAAAGACAGCCTTTTCAACAATGGTACTGGGAAAACTGAGTATTCACTTCTGGAAGACTGAAATTAGATCCCAGTCTCTCACCTTATACTAGTATCATTTCAAAGTGCATCCAGGATCTTAATGTAAGATGTAAAACTACTACAAGAAAGAACAAGGAATACACTGGAACACACAGGCATAGGTGAATGCATTACTTTGTTGTAGCCATCATAACAAAACACAAGAGAATTTTATTTCCTCACAATTTTGAAGACTGGAAGTCAATGTTGAAGGAACAAGCAGGGTAACCTCCTCTTACTGTGTCTTCGCATAGCCTTTCCTTTGTGAACCATATCCCAGGTGTCTCGTCCTCTTTATATAAACCACCAGGTCTATTGGATTAGGACCCCATTCTTAAAACTTGATTTAATCTTAATTACCTTCTTAAAAATCCCTCGCCTGAAATGCAGTCACATTGTGGGTATTTTAGTCAAATTTTCACTTCTCTATTGAAATATCTGGGCTTGGTACTTTATAAAGAAAGATTTAGAGGCTTAAAGTCAAAGTAGCATTATGCCAACTCTGGTGAAGGCCCGTTTAGCTGTGTCACACTGTGGGCAGATGGCATCATGGATGGAGTACATGGAAGATGGAGAAATCACACAATGAGCAGAAAACTAGAGCAAGACAAAGAAGGGCCAGTAATAACCTACTACTAAGCCCCACCTCTTAAAGTTCCCACCACCTCTTAACATCATTACATTGAGGACCATGCTTCCAACATATGAACCCTTACAGGACAAAGAACAACAGGAACTTAGAGTTTCAATGTTTGATTTGGGCTGACACATTTTAGTCCATAACAGGACTAGAAGACAGATTGCAACAGATTAAGGGGAGAGCAAGAGGCAGGAAATGGACATTGTCAAGTTTTCAAAGAAGTTGGACAGAACAAGCAAGAAAAGTGTTTGTCATTATTTTCATCATTGTTATTTCTGTTGGTACTAAAAGAGGGTATGTAAAGGTAAAAAGAAGTAAGTGGTGACATCAAAGATTGGGTGTAAATCATCCTTATGTTTTCTTCTATGTGACATGCTTTTCTTTATCCCTGTGAAAATTAGTCTCCATGTATGTGAGAAATGGACAATTATATCTCATTGTGAGGGTTATTGTGAAGGCCAGAAGTATGTCAGAAAGGCACCTTATCCTGTTATTTATATAACAGGGACTTAATAAATGTTAGTCACTGTATTACAGTTCCCCAAAATGCATGCTCTCAGAGGGTCGCTGAGTCACAAAGTGACTCCCAGTCCTGTGAGGAGTCATGCTGTGTTCCTTGCAAAATTCTCCTGAAGGAATCAGAGTTGATTGGATTCTGTGGTGCTGCTTTTTAAACTTCTCACATGCTGGCACTTGATGATGATTTCAGGTATGTTTTCAGAGCCTGACAGTCTCCTAGAAATAGAAACAGCACTTTGGCAGGTAAAAGTCATTAAGGAGCAAGGTACCAGTCAGCTGGGAAAACAAGAAAGCCCACAAGCAGACACTTTTGAGTGTGGCTCCTTTTGAATATTGTACGTGCTGATCATCCTACCACATACTTAATTCAATTATACTGACCCTCCGGCCTTGGGCCTTTTGTTTCAGACTTAACATCTGCAAGTCTGCAACAACAGGAGGAAGAAGCTGTCACTAGTGTGGCTCAGATTCACTGCGTGGTACAAAGGCTGAGAGGTTAATGTGCTGTTTTGTTTCTCCCTAGTGGAAAGGTCACTAGATCTAGACAAGGTCATGCTGTGATTGAAAGGCTGCTCAGAAAATCTGATTAAAATTTCCTATATTTTTGCTTATTCTGGGCTTCTCAGAGCAATGAATATAGAACATACTGATTCTAAAAAAGATTTTTAATATCCACCAACAATCCATAAATCTTAACTTGAGAAATATCCCTCTAGAGAAAATTTAATTCAAGGGGCTCCAGAAGAATGGAAACTTTAATAGAAACATCCTTTGTTCATGCATTCATTTATTCACTAAGTAATTTGTGAATGACTACAGGGTGTCAGATTATGTTAGGTCCAGAGGATATGCAGCCATGTAAGAATTTGACCGTGTCTTCAAGGAACTCATAATGGAAAAGCCAAACAGGAATGGATTGTAACGGTGGGGGTGTGTAGACTGACTAGGGAGTCATCAGTTATGCATAATGGGACAACCTGTAAAGGGTTCAGACAGGTAGCTATAATATTGGAATTGGATCATGAAAGATCTATACATTTTAACAGGAAAGGAAAAAGGAACAATTTAGGTTGGAGAAATTATACTATAAATGACTCTAAAGAAGTTTACATAAGACATTTTTCAAGAAAGTAGAACCTTTCTTTTTGATACTACCTACTTACATTAAGTAGATCCATGCATGGAATGTTTTTCCCCCTGTGCTGGCAAATACAGCAATACAACATAGTTTATATCGTTGAATCAACATCAATCTTAGCAAGCAACATTTTCCTTCATCCTCTCTATCTCAAGACCCATTAAGTAGAATCAACCCATTTGTTCAAAGAAATGGAAGAGTAAATTGAAGAAGCCCTATTTTGGCTAACTTGATTTTCTCAATAAAGCTCACCCTGAGGACCATGTGCTAATGCCAACTGCCTTTTCTGAGCTACTTGTAGCTCTTGCCACTACTTTAGGTGAACATCCTACTTTACTTTACTTTTTCATTAGTTTTGTCCTTGTCAGCTTAGAATTTATTCATGGCCTACCCATCTTTTCTTATCCCTTTCTAGTATTCTTACCCATCCATCTGTATTCTGAAGTATTTTCATGTCATTGTCTCCAAATAAAATATTATAATATGGAAAGTAAATAATGAATATTGAATTTACCTCCCATTACTCATTTTGACAAATGCAACCATTCTGCATATTTGTTTCATCAATACTGGTTTTCTGCAAATGCCTTGAGTATGATGATTAGGATATGCATAGGTTAGGGTTCTTCTGACCAGGATTCTATCCCCTGTCAAGTGAACACTCTGGCCTCAGTGAGGATACCCTCAGTAAAGCAGGCAGTAAGTACATACAAACATTAGCAAGAGGTGGCATTGCTAGTGTCAAAAATGGTGTAAATTTGAAAAAAAATACTATATTTCTTACAGACCCATGGGACAAGCAGTTAGAAGGTCCTAGTCATCTAGGAACTGAATAAGCTGAGAAGTGACCATTCTGCCTCACCTCACATTTGGAATCTGGTCAAGGAGAAGGGGAAGAACCATAGCTACATATGTGGTCTCCTTCACTTGGAAGTTGTTTTCTGGGTGACTTCCTCCTATAGGGTGTAGACTAGATTATAACAGGGAGTAGTCTTTTAGGGCTCCATCTCACTGCACTGTGAAGGAACTAGACTGAAGGGCGTAGTCCTCTGATACACAAGTACCCAGATCCTAATATATCCCAAACCTTCAATCTTCTACTTTCCTTTTCAATCTTGAGCAAATGTGCAGATATTACCTGGGCACAGGAAACATCACATTAAGCAACATAAAAGCAAGATTCTTTGTAAAGGTCTTCTCAAAACTGATATATTCCAATATTTTCTCCCAAAATTACATTAAAGTTTATAGTATATCCCAAATATATGGGCACAAAATTCTTTTGCACAGAACATCTTTGAGAATTTTCAGTTTAAATAGAATTCACAAAGCAAAGTAAAATATATTAGCTCTTGTTTATAACTTCAGGCTCCCTTAGCTACAAAAAAGAGTAACTAGAAAATCTCTAGGCCCGAATTATAACACGGTGTACCTGTTTTTATGGCAGTCCAACTGGGTGCTGTTACTTTATCCTCATCAGCACTGATCTGAACATTTCCCTTCCAATAACAGGGGAAATTCATGACTTTAACGGAATCCTCAGAGAGAATGACAAAGTCCCATGTGGTAGTGACACAATACATAAGGTGGTGCTGATTGTTACAAATCCCATTTCTATAGCTAGTATTTGGAATATATGCATACATTTCTTGTTGAATTGTGCAGGGTTTTTGTAGTTTTCAAACTACACTGTAAAAAGTACCAAAATTATAATGGCTACATTAATGACTGCAATGTGCAAAAAAAAAAAAATCATGTAGAGGTGTCTTAGCTTAAAACCATTAAATCTGAAAAATGTAAAGACCATTATTGGCAGTGTGAGACTCTCTCCTCTAGAGACCAGTCACAGACACTTAGCAGACCTTTTGTTTCATTTTCCTGTGTGTTCATTATAAGCATCAGTGAGCAGCAGCCAGCCTAAAGATTCTTTCTGATTTTCCTCCACAGACAGTGTGGAAGATGAACTGGAGATGGCTACTGTCAGGCATCGGCCTGAGGCCCTGGAGCTGCTGGAAGCCCAGAGCAAATTCACCAAGAAAGAGCTTCAGATTCTCTACAGAGGATTTAAAAATGTAAGAACTTTCTTTTTGACCTTATATACCCAGTTCTCAGGGGAGCACTGAGAAATGAGAGGGAAAGACAGGAAACACACTACTCTGTAGTAGCCTATTCCATTTCTGACTGATCCTTCCTACATTTGAATATAGTCAATATTCACTTGGACTTTGATTCACTTTGACACACCAATTCTGGTATAATGCAGTTGCCCATTAAACAAGGATGACAAAAGGTTTACTCAATTTAACTCTTAGTTAGAATTTTTTTTATTCTTCAGCTATACTGATATCATTTCAATAAGCTCCAATGATCAATTATCTCTTCATTTCTTAACCATAAGCAGGTGCTTGAAGTATAAATTGTAGCACATCAAGCAACTCCACTTCTGGCATTAGAAAATATGTTTATTGTCTGGAGAAGATAGTGCTGCTAATTAACCAAGGTATCTGTAGGTAGTCAGTCTGGTTCTCTGTGATCCAGGCATGCATACAGTCTCCTTCCTGAGTGGATCATCTTCAAGAAAAGTGACATCCTATGCATATCAGAAGGTGAGGGTGAAAGACAAGGAGCAAATCCAAACAATCTATCCGGCGCACACACACTTCCTGTACACTTGGTATGTGCTTACTACAAATCCAAATGTACACATTATTCAAAAGCAGAGACAAGGACTAGAGGTGTGGCTCAAGCAGTACAATATCAACTTTTGCAAGTGTGAAGCCCTGAATTCAAACCCCAGTACCATCAAAAATTTAAAAAAATATATATATGTATATGTGTATATATATATATATATATATATATATATATATATATATATACACATATACATATATATACACACATAAATTCTCAAAAGCCACAAAAATACACTCTGTCTTCAAAAAGCTAGGTAGCAAAAACTTGCTGTTATGGAACTATTTGACAATAATTTCATCCTTAAAAGTATCAAATGTTGCCAGGCATGGTGGCTATGCTTGCGAGGTGGAGGTATGGGAGTGTATTTGAGCCTGGTCTGGGCTATATAGTAATACATTGTCTCCAAACAAGAGAAAGGGAGAGAAGAAAAAGAAAAAAGTATCAAAAGTTTGTGTATCAAATGACCCAAACCCATTCCTAAGTCTATGGTGTCCAAAGGCTTCTGCCAGTCTTTACACCTCAATGTCTGCCTTTGCTTGGCTTCATGAAGACAAGATAGAAATTATTCCTCTTCTTTGGTACCTGCAACAAAAATTTACTCAGAGAATTTCTAACTGTAGTTGACTTATCAGGAATAGTTTTACAGGGTTTCATCATCAGTATTGCACACAGTCTTCTACTATCTCCCTAACTGAATGCCCTACATCTCTATCTCATTTCTGGTCTGTAGCCTCTTTGTTGCCCTGAGCTCTCTAAGCCTTTGTTGTTCATTATACATAATACCTTCCTTATTCTTCCCAACTTTGGTCATCTACTAATGCCCAGGCCTTTGTGGTAGTTGACTGAAGCCAAGCAAGTTACAATGGTTTCTGGTGTTCACCATGCCCTGTGCCCACAGAACTCTAAAAAAAAAAGGAATTTTGATGATTGGTCTATTAAGATGACACATATAAATAAACATCATGTGTGTGTTAGTTTTTCTGTCACTGAAAAGAACAACTTAAAGAAGGGAAGATTTATTTTGATTCACAGTTTCAGAGGTTCATTCCATAGCCACTGGACCCATTGTTTCTGGTCCTGGAATGAGAAAGAACACCATGGTGGAAAGGCATAATGGAGTGGAGCTGCTCACCAAGTGGTGGCAATGAAACAAAGAGAGACAGAAAGTGTCCAGCAACAAGATATACCCTTCGAAAGCATGAACCTACTGACCTACTTCCTCTAATCAGGCCCTACCTCCTAATAATCACTTCAGTATGATTTTATCAATGGATTAATCCATTGATAAAGTTAGCACCATCATGATCCAACAGTTCTCAATATTGCTATTAGCTGAGAACCAAGCTAATAGCTTCACCTTATGAGCTATTTTGAGGGGACACTTCATATCCAAACCACAGATATGCATTAAAAGAAAAGGTCTCTAGTGCCCAGGCTAGAGAATTACTATTTAATCCTTTTCTAAAATAGTTTACAAGCATCAGAGAAGAAGAGCTATACTGTACACAGGAAGTTGAAAAACCTGAGTAGCAATGAAAGAAAGGAAGTAAAAAAAGACCAAGTTAAGGCCAAAGTCAATAGTAAGAGAAGGCTAGTCATAGAATAGCTTCAAAATTTAGTCATATCTAAACTTTTTTTCTGTAACCCAGAAATCCTGTAATATACCAATGGTTGATTTTTCTGCTTAAACTGAATTATGCATTAGACACAGAATGGTTGTCGATAATGGAATATTTAATGTAACCTCCAGCATTCCTTTGTTTCTCCACTGCTACTCTGTTATTATTCTTCTGCCATCACTGCAGTTCTGCCCACCTGAAGTCTGGTTACCTTTCATCCCATTGGTTGTAAATTGGAATCATGATTACTGTCATTATTAACCTTTGGAGATAGCATCTCTGCAGCATGTCTTATACAGTGGCACTTCACAATAAATTGCCAGGCTCCTAAGTCTGCATTCATTGCTTGCTTTTATTTTTCTATGTAACAAGTTGTCTCTTCCTTTTCTCCCCCTCCCTTCTTTTCCTGGCTTCTTTTTCTTCTTCCCTTTTCCTGTCCCTCTTACCCTACTTCTATTTCGTCATTCCTCCTTCCTCTTCCTCCTTCCTTACTCATGTCCCTTTCCCTCATTCAATTCTTGTCTCCTTTCTTTCAGGTACTTCCATTCATTCCTCTTTCTATATATTTTTACTACTCTTTGCTTCCTTTCTCCTCTCCCCACCCCACTCCATGAGAAAAATTTCCATCAGTCCCAAATGTGCCCAAAGCATATTTCATATGCTTCTTAAAAAGAAAAGATTGTTTGTTCAAAAAAAATAGTAATAGAAAATCAAACAAGAGTGGCCTTTTGATTTTTATGTTACCCTAGTCAAATACACAGCTCCAAGAAATGTGCTCTACAGCATAACAAGGGAGATACAAAGCAGGTCAGCAACACTCACGTTTTACCAGATGGCAGCAATCAGAAAGACTTCCATAATAGAAAGCAAACCAATGGCCCTTGGTTCCTGAACACCAATTATCTCAAAGCCCTTAAGATAAAAAAATCATTTCCCTTGAGACAGTTGGGATATTCATTTTTAATGAAACCTTTTAAAACTCCCCATATTTTGATTAAAAGGATAAACCATTCATCAATATCTTAAAATAGTTGTACTTGTGTGAAACTGACTCAACTTGTCAGGTATCACCACAAATAAAGCTTACCAGAGTCCATCAGTGTTTTCTTTTTCCCTGTATAGTCTCTCATAGCATTTGCTCAATATAAATTTCATAGAGATGAAGAATGGCATGAAGAGAAGACAGTGACAGCTAATTTCTTATCTCCTCCCCCTGTCTTACTTATTGTGTAAGTAACTTTTGTTTCCCTTGCTACATGTTGAACCAAGTCTCCAAAAGTAGGTAGCTGATAGAGAAGGAGAAGCACAAAGCATAGTGTTTCTCCCCTGCTACGGTGCCTCAGAATCACCTTCTGCACCCCAGGTTATGACTTAGTAGGGTGAGATTGGAGAACAGAATGTTCATTTCTCAGAAGTTCCCAGGTGGTGGTGATGCTGCTGTTCCAGGGACTACACTTTGAGAATCACTAGTACGTGTAAGCATCATAAATTTTGATATCACTCACAGTGGGGTCCATATCTTCCTTTTGGGTTAGCTCCTTCTGACTCAGTGCCCTGTGTATCTTTGTCCCTATAAATTGGAACAATAATGAACATATTGAAATTATTAAGAAATAAACATGAAATTCAACAAAGAGGAGTTATTATAGTATGGCCCTAAATGGTCAACCTCAGTGTGTGCTCTATCAATGTGGGGCAGTCATGGTTGTCCTACATAGCTCCCAGGCAGTGTCTTGGGTATTGGATTACATAATTATGTACTAGAAAGAATACAGAGAGATGCAGAATATTATCTACAAATCAGCAGTGTTGAATTTCATTGCATGTTACAATCATCTAGGGAGATTTAAAAATTACAAATAGTTGGGTACCATGCTTAGTGATTCTGATGTAATTGTTCTGGGAAAAAGCTTGAGCATCAGAATTTATAAAGTTCTCTGATAATTATAATTTTCAGCCAAGATTGAGAATCATGGAACTAAATACAAGATTCTAAAAGGTTTTTCTATCACAAAATGAATTGATCTAATTGTGATGAGCCTTAAAATGTCAAATAGTAATAACTAAACTAGTTGCATTGGAACCTTATGACGTGGTTTTGTGTAGAGACAGGATAGGGGTAGAGGAAATGAAAGGTCTAACATACAATTATTTTGATTCAGTTCAGTCTGGGATGAAGCTCAGTACCTCTCTTTTTAAATTTCTGAACTCCTAAATTTAAAAAAAGCACACTATAATAGACATTTAACAGAAAACCACATTGGATAACTACCAATCTAGAAGCTCATTCAAGTATCTTTCATCTATCTATCTATCTATCTATCTATCTATCTATCTATTATCTATCTAATCTATCCTATTCACAATCTTGCTTTACTACTCTTTCAAAATAAATTATCAATCAGTTCAATTTTAGGTGGTTGTGAATTGTCTACTGGGGCATTAAGTCTTAATAGAATGATGTCTCTTTACCATTCATTTCATTAATTAATAATTTACAGTCCATTCTTTCCATTTTTTGAAACACAGAAAAAGAGGTACTTCCAAGTGGTTAGACCTCTAACACATGTTTCTTTCCTCTCTGGGATTTTTCCCAGCTTCCTTTTCTTTCTCTGCTTTGGTCATATCATCCATTAGATTGAAATATATGTTAAGGCATCACTTTCATAACTTTTAATTTCCTTTTTACCTAAAACTGTTCTGTTCATATCATCTTTACCAAAAAAATGAGAGATATTCATATTGGATTTCTATTG